CCAAAATAAAGATCACTAAAATACCTCTATGTACAACATGGACTTCTATCTAGATTTCGCTTTTACCCTTAACACCGGTGTATGGTGGGAACACTCACGAACTTCTGGAGTATTAAGTTATTACCGTCGATTGTGTTGGTTGAACGATCTGTACTTATTCCACGGTGCCATAAAAGAGCTCTTTCTTTTATTGCACTTGTTTATCGCTTTATGTAATGAGCTATAATAGAACATTCACCATACTTCTCTTCAAATGATTTCTATGACAACGCTCATACACGCACAACATGTTGCCAATAATTTTTTTCTTTGAAACTACTAAAACTCATTTCATGATAAAAAAATTAAAATAATATATGCAGTTGAAATTTACAAAAATGTTTACATTTACAACATATGAGTAATGTATTAGTTGTTTAGCATACTCCTTCCTCAGTTAACATCCAGCACCTTAGTCCCGTCAATGCCGAGGTCCATTGGTGAGTTGATTTGTGATGTCACACATTAATGATCTATCAACTATGGCTCTTTGCCGTAGTGTTTTTTTTTTGTGGGTGACCGTAATGTGTGTTGGGTGAACTATTTGTGTAAATTTCAAGCTAGGCAAGCTTATTTCTATTGTATTTGTTTATCACATTATGATGTGGTTTGTATAGAATATTGAGGCTTCTTCACAACTCACAAGGATTAGTTACATCAATCTACATTAGTTGAGCACTATCGGAATGACCAGCTATGCCGACGACCTAGGCCCGAACCCCGTCGGCATGGCCTCGCCGGCATACTCCAGCGCTGGCAGCTTCCGTACGGTTCTCGACATCGCTCCATCTCCAACAAAAATATGGCCCTGACGGCAGCTGACGGAGCCGTAGTCAAGTCCACCGAACCAGGGGCCGCCACGTGTCGGCTGTATGTTGACGCCCAGGCTGTCGGCACAGATTCCCACATAGTATAGCAACAGAGTCCTTTCAAGATTCTAATTAAAAACCATATATTAGTTGTGATTTTAACAAAGAATAAGAATCTATATGCAAAAGTACATGAGATCACATTTCTAACACATTCAAAAATAAAAATAAACTGATATTCATAATCTATGAAAAATTCTACCCCAAATCGATATATAATTTGTGTATGTTCAAATTTAGACAAGTCAGATTTAAATTAAACAAATTTTATCTAAAAAAGAAAATGATCTAAAATAAAAAAATATACATATAATCTATGCCGACGGCTGCCATCAGGGCGCCAACATTGATTTGATGGTGTCAGCCGACCATCGCAGATTGGGTCGCCAGGGCCGCTTATATACTGACGGCAACGGTCGGCATACATCAATCTGTGCCGACAGCCACTGTATGCCGACGACGGCCGTCGACATAGATGGCGATGTGCTGATGGTTTTTCCTAGGCCGTCATCATAGATGGATATGCGGACGGCCCTGCAAAAAGCCGTCGGCATAGAAAAGGCCATCGGTATATTAGGTTTACTCCTAGTGGAGGAAGCAGAAAAACAAGTAAAACCAATCAAATTCCGTGAGAATACAAATTAGTGAATGCAACAATTACACACATACATACATATAGACCACCATCCAACCCATCCTACACGTCCTCACGGTACAAGGCTAGAAGACTGTACTAGCTAACATTTGAGCTATCGTAGGTATCATCCATCCATTAATTGATCAATGGATCATGAACATATAACGTGTACGCATGCAAAGAAAAAGAAGAAAAATGGTATGGGTGGATCATGTGGCTACGCCGGGATGGTGGGTAAGGTCGAAAGGAACTGCTCCACCTCGTAGTTGGTGTCGGCGTCGAAGACCCTGAGGCACATGGGCGGTTCCACGTTGCCTAGCGACAGCAATGACGATGGCAATGACCAAATCCCATCGCCGCAGATGAGCCCCGACGCCACCGCCGGCGCGAACATCTGCGCGTGCAGCCTGTCGGACTTGGACCACATGTAGAGTATCAAGCTCCCCACGCACATGTCGATGGTGAAGAAGGAGCCGAGGAAGAAGGGCACCGCCATGCCGAGCGCGCTGGGTATGTAATCCCTGATCCACCATGTTTTGTTGTTGGCCACCTCCTTGAGCGCGCAGATGGCGATGGCGAGGATGAAGAAGGCGGCGCAGAACCTGAGGCAGTACTTGGGCAGCTGGTCCCAGCCGTTGGTGCCGAGGAGCGCGATGCCGCGGTAGATCTTGGCGTAGGGCGCCGGGTAGCCCTCGTCGTTGCCGATGTCGTAGGCCTGGTAGAAGATCCAGAAGACGGTGGGGGAGATGATGCAACCGATCCCCGTGCCGATGACCTGGCTCACGAACATGGCGCGCGGGGAGGTGAGGGTGAGGTACCCCGTCTTGAAGTCCTGGATGAGGTCGGAGGCGGTGGAGACGATCCCCATCATGAGGCCACAGGCGGCGAGGCCGGCGATGACCCCGCCGTCCTTGGCGCCGATGTTGGCGCCGAAGATGAAGATGGCGAGCTTGCCATAGCTGCTGGAGAGGGACCAGTCGGTGAGGCCGGTGCCGTAGGCGTTGCAGAAGGCGAAGATGGGCGCGACGACGTAGGCCCAGACGACGTGCTTGGGCTTGAGCTGGCGGAAGATGTGCGGGATGGCGAGGACGGAGATGCCGGCGAGGGCAACGTAGGCGCCCACGGCGACAACGGTGGGGATCTGGTCCTTGAGGAAGATCTGCGTGCGGCGGCGGTCGTCGAAGCTGAGGGCCTGCCTCTCGTTGGCGCCGGCGAGGCCGGCGCCGGCGAAGGGGACCCCCGCGGTGTTGGCCTTGGCGCGGCCGGTGCGCTTGAGGTACATGTCGTAGGAGGTGCGGAACAGGATGGAGAAGAAGTTGAAGAGGCCGTCGCCCATGATCATGGCGATGGAGATGAAGACCTGGTAGCCGTTGAGGCCGTGGAGGCTGCTGTTGGGGAGGTTGGCGTCGTACCAATCCCCCCTCTTGCTCTCGATGAAGGGCCACATGATCCCCCAGGAGATGATGCTCCCGATGAGAAGCGAGAAGTTGATGATGTAGGGGCAGATCATCCCCACCCCGACGTACGTCGCCGAGAAGTCGAAGTAGAAGCGGCGGTTGTAGGCCTCCATCCCGAACGTCGGGAACGAGCCGAAGCCGCACGAGTTCCCCGCCGTGTAGAACCACTGGAACATGGACCACAGGAAGCTCCCTAGAAACGACTTGAACAGGATCGACACCTGCTGCCTGCCATTGCAAACATCGAACAAACATAGATATATGTCTACACCCGCCATTGTCGATCGTTGCCGGAGAAGAAGAAGAAGAAGAAGAAGAAGAAATTGGTTACGTACTTGGCCTGGATGGCGCCTTGGGGCGTGTGGAAGCTGTTGATGAGGTGGGCGGTGGCGGAGCCGGAAGGGTAGGTGAGGCGGTAGCTAATGATCATGATCTTCCTGAGCGGCACGATGGAGAAGAGCCCCACGAAGCTGACGAGGAAGAGGTAAGCCATGACGCGCCACAGCGACGGCTCCTCGACGTTCATGGTGTTGTTGGCCTCGTCGAAGCCCTTGGCGATCTTGCGGCTCATGCCGAGGATGTAGGTGCCGAAGCCGCCGGAGAAGGCGATGCTGGAGCAGGAGATGACGCAGGTCTGCACCACCGTGTTCTCCTGCCGGGTGAAGGGCCGCGGGAAGACGCCGCAGCGCTCCAGCGCCGACGTCCACGTCTTCATCATGAAGAAGGCGAGCAGCCCCGCGGAGACGTTGAGCGACGGCACGATGCCGGAGGTGATGTTGAGCTTCATCACGATGAAGCTGAGGAAGGTGCCCAGCCCCGCGCTCACCACCACGGCGCGGACCGTGATCTGCTCGTTCCACGTCGGCAGGGTCTTGCCTTCGAACGCCTTCTCCAACGAGATCGCCTCCCGCGGTGGCACCGGGGCCGGCGCCGGCGCCGGCGCGGGGGCGGGGGCGGGGGCTGCGCCCTCCGCTTGCTCCATCATAGATCACCTCCGGCCCTTCTCCCACGACGCCGGCCGCCCACCTGCCTGATTGTCGCTACAATCGATTGATATATATATGGACGCGCAAATTCTCTTGTCGATGAAAATTGCAATGCGATGTGATGGATGCAGTAATCCGGCCGGCCTCCTGGAGATCGACCGATCTTGTCGACGGATCAATGGTTTCCCCTCTCTCTACCTGCCACGGAGGGGCGCCGGAGACGGAGGTGGTCGATGGATCGAAAGAGTGATTAGTCTTTTTTGCTGCTAATTATGATTGCCGATCGCTAAGAGAAGAGAAACTAGGTGTGATGGATTTTCGTGTGGTCGTGCTGTGAGGTGAAGCAGCGGGTGGTCGACAGGCCATCTCGTGCGCGCGCCAACGCCTAATTTTGGCAAAAAATACACGAGCATCTAGGAGTATTAAACAGGCGCCTGAAAAAATATTGGTGCGAGTCGAAAATCTAGAGCGTCGGATCATCAAACCAACAACCATCCGATGCGCTAATGTTCTTCTAATCGTTGTTTAGATTATTAGTTGGAAGTTTTCGTAAGAGTTATTTACTCAAAACCACCACATTATGGGCTAGGGTAACAGATCGGTACCACATTTAAGGCAGAGCACAAAAAATCACCAATAATGGGGCTAATTTGTAACGTGGAGCACTGACGCTGCGTATTAGCCCAGAAAATAGCGAATCCGACAGGTGGGTCCCGCCTGTCGGGCTGACGTCGCGCGTGTTGACGTACGCCGTTACACGGCGACATACGGCCGTTTCCACGCGCCCGTGTAAGTGGCCCGCACTGGTCGGTGTTCGAACCAGACCAGGCAGTTCATCCCGCTCGCTCTCCTCTCTCTCGACCCCGACCACCGCCGGCGCCGGCACTGTCGACTCGCCGCCTTTCGCCGCTCCGCCATGATTTCTTGGAGTGACCAGTCCTCGAGCTCTTCTTCGGACGGCGAAGAAGTCACTAGCCAGGTATGCGTGTTCGCCTCCCCCATGGATTAGGGTTCATCCCGCTAGGGTTAGGGTTCATCATTTGGGGATTCTTTTACCAGGTCGCTGATTTGTGCAATTTGTGTGCTGGTTAGCTTCCTAGGACTATCCCTTGCTATGATTGGAGTGGCATTGCTCATGATCTGTCGTCTCGTTGTCTGCATCAAGAACCTTGCGTCAGGCTTGTTGCATTTGAATCCGTGGACACAGGCAGACGTTTTCTTGCGTGTGCTGAGGAGAAGGTATGTTGATTAGTGGTGTAAGTAGATTAGCTTAGTTAGTTTATGCTCCATTCACTTGTCAGTACTCCAATTTTGTGTATCAAAGATTTGTTCCTGGATAGTTGCTCAAATATGAATTGCTTCAGTGCTCAAATATGAATTGCTTCACTTGATGTAATAAGTCTTTGTGGATAGCCCATAATCTATGCATATACAATCTTATTGATGAAAAAAAATTATATGTGTTGTTATAATTGTTTCTGCCCCGAATTTGTGCATACAATTTTGAGAATATATCTATTAACTAATGATGTAATATTTGATTTAGGCACCAATTTATGCATAGAATATAATTCAGTGGATAGAACTAAACTAAATTCAGTGGATAGAACTAAACTACAATTCAGTGGATAGAACTAAACTACAAATTGTGCACATTTCGGTGGAAAGAACTAAACTAAAATTTCATACAGTATTATATAATTTGTGCACATTTCATACAATTTCTTATTGAGAACATATTTATTTAATTGTAGGCAGAACTAAAGTGCAACTATCTCGAGTGGATAGACCCAGAGTGTTCAGTGGCTATGCAGTTCACCCTCACTGAATTGTGGAGCATGTATGACAAAGATATCAAGGACAGGCTGAGAGAAAATGTTGAGTTTGCTGAAAGAAATTTCAAACTAGTTGGAGAAAAGAGGAAGATGGAGGAAGATCTGAGGTTTTTCAAACTGGACTTTGCTAAAATGGTTGCTGACAAGGAGGATGCTATCACACAGTTGGGAAATGCTAGGTTGGCTCTAAGTGATCTCAAAGAGGAGATGGAGAAGAAGAAGCTGGCAGACCATGGTTGTACCAATCTTCATCGGGTACTTGGGGCAAAGGTAGAGAAAGAGAGGGACCGGCTAGTGGTAGAGAGAGACCAAGTTGTGACAGAGAGGGACCAACTGAAACAAGAGAAGAAAAAACCGGACTACATGATTGCAGATCTGCTCAAACAGAAACATGGGTACAAGGACAAGATCAAGAAGTTGAAGGAGATATGTGATGATTTTTAACTATGTATTGTGGTGTGGTAGGGTAGCACTGGAGTTGCTATGAATGTGCTCTTATGAACTTAATAAGCTGTAATGCTTTAAGTATCTTTATGTCCAAGACTTGTGTAGTGTACTCCCAAGACTTGTGTTGTGTACTCCCAAGAACTAATGTCCAACTTATTATCATTGCATCTTTGGATCAATGTCTAACTTATTAATGTCTTTTGTTTGTATCAAATGAAATGGTTGTGCTTGATGTGCCATAATAGTTCCTGATGATCTGTTACCATTTACTTTGCTGAGAACAAATTTTGCACAGAACCTTTTCTGCTGAAAATTAACTTTGCACAGAACATATATTGCACTTAAATTACTTTGCATAGAACCTATTTTTCAAACAATTAACTTTGCACAGAACATATTTTGCACAGAAGTTGCACAGAACCTGATTTGCACATAACATATTTTGCAAACAGTTGACTTTGCACATAACATATTTTGCACAAAAGTTGCATAGAACATATTTTGCTCAGAATTTTAATAGCAGGAGATAAACATAGATAACTTCACAGTGCCATACATAGGTTCATAATGCCATACATAGGTTTAACATACATAGGTTCTGAGTGCCATACATAGGTCCATAAAATAGTAAATGAAAGACATTAACTAAATTAACAAGTAAATGAACTAAATGAACAACTAAATGAAGTGAATGAACTAACCTTTTGTCTATCAGACATGAATGTGTACTTTCTAAATTTGCCCTCTTCACTTCCTCCTAGAGCATACTTGAGTTGTGTCAAGAACCAGACCAGTTCACTGTATCTTCAACTCCAAGCACTCCAAAGGCAATGGGGTACATATTGTTGTTTGCATCCCTTCCAGTAGCTACTAATATCTGTGCACCACTTGTCAATTTGATGAAGCAGCCATCTAGACCTATGAATGGCCTACATGCATTCAAGAAGCCCTCACAACATGCATTCAAACTGAAAAATAGACCATGGAACCTTGGTCCGGCAGTAGGATTTTCTCTGGTTTTGCCACTAACAGTAGTGACAATGCACCTAGATCCAAGATTTGTAA